AACCCTGATAGAGTCAATGGTCGAAAAGCGATCTGTATAAGACCTACATGTATGTATTTATACTTATCCATATATGGATTTACATCTGCTTCTCCTAGCAATTGAATGGTCTGTTCTTCCCTATCGACTGTACTAGTCCTTTCTAGGGTTTTAATATTGATTAAAGATTTATAACCTTAAAAACCATTTTTATATATGTTTCTATTAGGGACATCAGGTATTGTCCACTTATTAAGATCCTATGTCAGTTTTGTATTCAGTCAGCTGAGCATTTTTTACTTTTTTCATTCCAGTATAACTGGATTTACGAGCCGAACTACTTTCTATGATATCTGACATAATTTTTTTCTTACAGATTTATCTCTTAACTACTTAACCAGTAAGGATGAAGAACTTCTATTTTTCTTTTTATTCTCTTTGAAACAACCTAGTAAAAGGCTTACACGTCTGTCAACAACTTACACTACTCTAAAAGCCTTCTCGATAACAACGGGCTTTATACTGCGCGACTTAGATGACGTCCCATAAGCATGCAAACTAGGTTCTTAAACAGAGAATGAAAAGAACATATAAAAATTCTACATTCTTACAAGTAAACAATCAAAAGATAATCTGTAAGATCAAATTTAAGCAGACATAAAATAGTTAAACATGGCTCTGATACCAGAAATTAGAAAGCGGTAAAAAACGGAAAATAAAATGCGGTAAAAAATAGAAAATAAATACTTACAGAGTACGCTTACCGATTCTCAAAACTATATCTTTAATAAGATCTTCAATATTTTACAAGCACACTTACAACACTCGTATTAATACAGAAGAACACTCAATCTTATAACACTCTTAGTATTTTATTCTCACTCACAAAAGCTTACTTCAAAACTTACTGATTCTTTCAAACTTAACTCCTATATATAAGCTTTCTCGGTTGCCTTCTCAAGCCTTCGAGTTCCTTCGATAATGACGTTTTGACAACGGCCCTTTGCATAAACGAGAAAGTTGGATGCATTATCACACTAATTAGGAAACATTAAGACCCACAACATATATACTAATTAGGAGACATTGGGACCCACATCGTTAACTTTTTTTCTAAGAGTATGATTTTTCTTTCATATGCTTTTTTAAAAGCTACTTTATAAAGTGGCTTTATAGATTCTAGACGGCTCCCTGAGGCTCAATCTAGAATTTTTATCTGCTTAGGAAGCTGGGTTTTTTCTTTTAAGGTCTGATATATTTTGGTCAAAGATTTCAGCCCAAATCTCATCCGGATCTTGTGCGTCGGTTAATGGAGTATTAAAGATTTCGGCCCAAAACCCAGCTTCCTAAGCAGATAAAAATTCTAGATTGAGCCTCGGGGAGCCGTCTAGAATCTATAAAGCCACTTTATAAAGTAGCTTTTAAAAAAACATATGAAAGAAAAGTCAATACTCTTAGAAAGAGAGTTAATGATATGGGTCCTAATGTCTCCTAATTAGTATATATGTTGTGGGTCTCAATGTTACTCCATTACCCGACGCACAAGATCCGGATGAGATTTGGGCTGAAATCTTTGACCAAAATATATCAGACCTTAAAGGAAAAAAACCCAGCTTCCTAAGCAGATAAAAATTCTAGATTGAGTCTCGGGGAGCCGTCTAGAATCTATAAAGCCACTTTATAAAGTAGCCTTTAAAAAAGCATATGAAAGAAAAGTCATACTCTTAGAAAGAGAGTTAATGATGTGGGTCCCAATGTCTCCTAATTAGTGTATATGTTGTGGGTCCCAATGTTTCCTAATTAGTGCGATAATGCATCCAACTTTCTCGTTTATGCAAAGGGTCGTTGTCAAAACGTCATTATCGAAGGAACTCGAAGGCTTGAGAAGGTAACCGAGAAAGCTTATATATAGGAGTTAAGTTTGAAAGAGTCTATAAGTTTTGAAGTAAGCTTTTGTGAGTGAGAATAAAATACTAAGAGTGTTGTAAGATTGAGTGTTCTTCTGTATTAATACGAGTGTTGTTGGCTGTTTCTACCAGTAAAATTTATTTATTTATAAGTTTAGAAGGTATCCAATCTGATTACAAAAGACAAGCATGAGCCGCGCCATACAGTTCTATTGGACCATATCTAGATATAGTTTGTAGTACGAGAAAAGAATATATACACTAGGCAGAAGAATAGAAGAAAGAAAAGAGAAAGATGGTAAGATAAGCTTGAATGCAAGGTGTAAGATGCTAGTCCTTGCCATAGGAGCAGTTGATAGGTGGACAGATCTATGTTTGATGCCCTTTAATAGCTGTATCATCTGAGGACCGTGAACTAAAAGTGGTCTAAACAAATGAAGCTGTGTCATAGTGCATCCTAGTCATCATGTCGACTGCTTTAGGATTGTACATCGGAAAGGCAAACAAGAGTTCGCATCATCTGACTTGGTTGATGTGGTCCGAACAAAAGTCTTGAGAAGTGGTGCTTGGTGATAACTTCTCTTTTGACCCCACTTCAGTGGTTCATATTTGTTGAGATTTTTCTTCTCAATGATCCGGAAAATTAGATCCACTGTTTTTCTTTGATCTCAAGGGATATGATAATAGACATTTTGCGAGCAGTTAACCCTTGCCTTTTCCTGAATAGAAAGATGTGATCTCTTTAAATTTCTATTTTTCTTGAAAATAACTCTTCCCTTTAACTTCATCTTTATCCCAATAGAACAGAGCATCGGCGTAGAAGGCTTGAACAACAACGAAAGGTTTGAGAGTCCGCAAATACCCTCTTGACTTCACCTTTCAGAGATTTATATATGAAGCATAGGTGTAGCAAAAAATGATATTATGCCATGTTTGTTCAACCATGATGACCTAGTAACGCGTCAATAACATGGAGCAAAGGAGTAGTCGTCCATTCACTGAATTTTAGTGTTAAGTGTGTTGTTACCAAGGCTTGTTTTCCCGTTTCTGTGGAGCGTAATTTTTACTGAGAAGATTTGTAGCAGATAAAAATCATCTCCTATTGGAATGTAGATAAAGCAGAAGTTATATAACACTGATATCTAGCAGGTAGTCTCAATAATTGAGTAGACCTATCAGAGTAGAGTGATAACTAATATATACTTCATTATAAAATAGATTATTAACTTACATTATGGAGATATATGGATATGCCAGAGTAGTCTCTATAACCGAGCAGACCTAATAAAGTAAACATTTAAATAATGATACACTTAAAATACAGGATTAGTGGAGTGTGCACTGCCAAAGCAAATATCTTTTACACATGTATTTTATCTTTGTTAATTATGTTCTAATGAAATACCCAATTTAGAGAATAATGACACAGAAGATAATAAAACAACTCTGGATGTTCACCACATCAAATAAGATAATCATGTCTCAATAACTCATTTATAAAGAGAACTCCCAATGATGAACACAAAGGTGAGGGTTCTCATGGATATCTCCTCGGACTTCAAATATCCTAACTTTATATACATAGTTTGATCATGCTAATGGCGGAATTTGGCATAATAACCCGAGAACATAATTGCATGGAACCTGGTTAGTTCCGGTTCATGAGACAGGAATGGTAGCGTGGTATGCCACTCATTAGGAATCGGGTACGAGGGGAGTAGGCTTATTCGGTAGGCTAGGGAACATAGGACGTTTGAGGTTCGGTTCTTAAATGTAGGGATCAAAGGTTTCACAAGAATCATATTTAACAAATATCGTAGTTGATATCAGAAACTGTAAAAGAACATTGAAAATCATGTTGCAATTAAGATACGCATACTTTATTTGCTTAGTTTTTTGTCTTTTGTTTATTCTTTTGCAAAAGAATTATTTGTTTTTTCAAAATTTTAACTTGGTTGAATCTAAAATGCATCGCTGAAGTTAGTGAATTGGGCGGTGTTCCACTTTGAATTCGAGACGATTGAACCCGGTTACGGTTTGTTATAGCGTCCCACGTGACCGACATATATGCTAGGGAAAATGACTAAATGTATCTCAGATTACGGTATGGCTTAATTTTTAGCCTTCAAAAATTATGTCTAAATGTATCTGATTCATGTGATAGGCATTCAAAGATCCAAAGAAAGTAATACTTTCTTTGCTGAAAAGAATGCCTATCAAGTGGCATCTCTTCCTCCATTTTGACTCAACTTCTGCTTGATGTGATACAGGATAGTATCTGTTATTGAAGCTTTGTCTTTTACCTTTGTGTGGGCCACTTTGAATGAACTAAAAACGTGAGTGCATAAACAGAAAGGGGGAACCACTGATGATTGGTTTGTGCAATCTGTGATCTTCTTTTGATGCAACCAATCTTGTATTTTGCAGAGTTAAAAAAGTTTCTCTCTTGGCGCTCAAAAACATGTGTTTGATTCTCTTTGTTTTGTGCATATTCTCCAATGTACTTTAGTTTGCACACAGAAACAAAAGAAAAAAAAAGGTCAGAAAGCAAAGGATGCCGCAGTCGAGGGAAAACCTTCATGTGACCTAGACTTCCATTCAACTTTTAAAACCTTCATGTGACCTAGTCATCCATTTAACTTTTGAAAACCTTCATGTGACCTAGTCTTCCATTTAACTTTTGACATAACCTACATACATGAAGAATTTTGAGGGAAGGAGATGACTTCTTGTTTAGATGGTAAAAAATGATATGATGGCAAAAATTAAGGAAAACTAAGGCTAAGCAAGTACCAGAAGAGAAAAAAAAAAGAAAAACAAAGAAAGCAAAGAATGCTACAATTAAGGGAAAAACTTCGTGTCACCTAGTCCTCCATTTATCTAGTGTTATAACCTACATAGATAAAGAATTTTGTGGAAAGGGCATGACTTCTTTTGGATGGTAAAATGGTGATACTGACATAAAATTCAAGAAATCTAAGACTGAGTAAGTATCACCAACCAAAAAAGTACCTTTTTTATTTGATATATGATTTTATGCAATATAGTTGTTCAATTTTAGTTCAGGCTGCTAGTATTTTGATTTCATACTGTTCTCACTTTTTACTCGCACAGAAATATTTATGGGACTACTTGATGATGATTCTCTAAAGCTCTATACCCTTATATGGACAAGAACGATGGCATGTCAAATGGAACCAGCCACAATTAATACGGTCTGTAGATTACTTTCTTTCTTTCACCCTGTATTTTGGTTAGATCTCCAAAGATATATTTCCAAATGTCCATTATGCTTAATGAGGTTTTTTATCTCGATTTTCTTGTTGTTGTGAAGTTGTTCTTTCTATATACATTTAGGCTAGGTACATGTATTTTGCTTCAGGATGTGCATCAAAATCTGACATGGTTACAAGTAAATAAGTTATACTCTGCACACTTTTGACCTTGCTACGATTCCCGTCACCTGCTCATCTTCAACGGCCTCTGGTGAGTTCAATTGCTACCGCTCGAGCTCCTAACCGCTCCGATCGGTCTCCCGTCTCCGCCAACCAACTCCAACAAGACCTTTTCTATACCAATCATTCCTCCGACGAGCCATCCCGACTATCCATAGAGCTCTGATGACTCCGTTATGTGCTGTCTCATCCTCGGTAATCTCCCAACCTCCTTGATTAGTCACGTGAGTGATATAAGACAACCACTCAATTCAGTGACGATTCCTCTCCAGCATAGCGACAACAAGTTTTCACGATGCCGTTTGAAACCCGTTTAAATCCCGATCATATCAGAATAGTTACCGAAGTCCTTACTCTTGAGATTCAATCCTTTCCGGATTGGATCCCTTGCCTTGGTCCAAATCACATGTGATACTATTTATCCTTACCTTAGTTTGTATAGAAATAAACTAACAACATTTCTTAACAGACTCTTGTAGCATCCGATCCAAAATTTTAACTTTTAACTTCTTGGAAGCAAAATAGTTCAAATAACATCCATTTAGTACAACATGAGCACTATTTTATGTCTATGAAAAAGACCAAAATATTTGTTATGTTCAAGTACATGAACCTTTATGGGGCAAACAGTTATTCTCTTCTTTTATGTCTTGATGACTAGATCTGTCCTTCACTATTTCTTGAGACTATGCTGCATCTCTTGAATCAAAAGTTTAACCGAGGTCGGGGCTCTCTTGACACTTTACTAGAACATGTAGGATCCCGTGATCCATCTTTTGTATTTCACATTATGGAACGATGATATCATCATTGTTGTTTGTTAGTGTTTAAATATTGGCTTATAACCCAATTTTATCGGCGATTTATCGGTTTTGGGGGCCTTCCACTATGATAAGTTTGATTTTAAATCAGTATCGTTTTTGGATGTTTATTGTTGATAATATGGCGATAAAGTAAGTTATCGGTCGATATTGTCGGCCCAAAAATCAGAATTATCGGTCTTTGGTTTTAGTTTTGATTTAGGGCAACGAGCATCTATTCAATGCATTTTAAACGCGACCCGACCTGAGTTTCTACTATTGGTTAGTGATGATAAACATAATTATTTACATTTTAGTATGTTTATATTTCATTAAGTATGGTTAGATTATATTTTAGAATATTATATTATGTATATCACCATCCGGTAATATCACTCCTATAAATACTACTTATCCCTGATATATCCCTGATATCTGCTATATGATATGGATTTTGATCGTGCGATAAATACCCGATAATCGATATATAAAACCTTAACGTTTGTTAACAGCTCTTCTTAGCATATCTTTTTTAAACCTTCATAGTCATTTGACAATAATTTATCTCTTTGTTCAACATTCTTAGGAAGGCAATTGAAAGAGAGAGAGGATACTAGCAGTATTCATATTGGAAGATAAGAGAGAGGTAGTAAGGCAGTTTATTTTGAGAATCAAGTATTATAGATGTGTATGTTTAGTTTAGTAATTATGTCAGTTTAGTGAAGGCACCAAGTCGATTTTGAAGAGATGCTTCATCTATTTTTGTCTAGCAAAAGCTTTGATGTTTCCTACGTCTGGTGTTAGTCTAGCAAAAAGGACTAGAACAAAACGAGTCAAAGGTCATCCGCCATTATTTAATTATGCTACAGTACTCATTGACATAATATCAGCTGCAAATCTTCGCCAATAATCAATGTTTTAAAAAGCACTTGCCTAGTCGGTCTAGCTCGCCTAAGCGTATGTCTAGGCCTAGGTGATACCTGGACCGCCTGCCTAACTTCTAGAGCCTAGGCGGTAACTAGGCTGCCCACCTAGGTTTTCATAGGGCTTAAGGAGCGTGGTTTGTCTACATAGACTGCACAATTTAGGCATTGATCGTGATTTCTTTCGTTGCATCTTGCATGTCCTCTAACCTCCTCTAAACTACTCCAGCCTCCAACTATGAACACCTCTACCTCCTCCGACCTTTAGCAAAACCTTAAACACCGCTTAAACGAAGAAAGAATTCCGCCTAGACGTAAGTCCGACAGCTAAGCTTTCTATAACATTAGCATTTACTATCAATCATTGTAATTAATACTAATAAAAAGGAAAACCACCTAGCCCCGCCTAGGCGCCTAGGCTTTAGGCGTCGGGTCCAATGCATAGGCCGCCTAGCGCTTTCTGTAACCTTACCAATTAATGTACCTGATGTTTGGGTGACATTCATTCTTCTCGTTCATGAATCGCTTTAGCTTGTTTAAATGCTGGCAGTCTCCAATGTATTCTCATTTTTGACTCCACACTATATGGAGTGCATGCTGTGTGTGTATATATATCAGGTCATAGTGTTTGCTTAGGCCTATACGATTATTTGGTTTAGTTATTGAATCAGTTGACGGATGATGATTAAACAAGATATTCCTCTTGGCAACTCTTCTAAGCAACCAGAATCATGGTTTTTTGAGGGGTCAAAGAAGTCTCATGAAAATCTTAACCAAATAGTCCCTGGAATTGGCATCCTTCTTTAGCACCTGCTCCTTATTCCAGGGCTAGAAGCTATTAAAAGAATCTTACAAATCAATGTCTATATCTTCATTTACGACCTCCATTGCAAGCCTTCTTATGGTTCCATGTGATCTTTACCATCTATGTATTGCATCTTTACCATCTCTCTATTGAATGCAATACATAGATGGTAAACTCTCCTGGCGCTGTTGTTGACTACATTTAACTGAAGTTTCTTGTTCTGCTGTGTTCTCTTGGGTGACAGCCATAGGGCTATCAAGGAAAATGTTTTTTTTTCCTTCAGATTGGATGACTTCTCCTGAATTATAGTCAGGGGATCGACCATTGGAGATTCTGATTTTCACAAGCACATTTAGATCTTGTACCTTCCCCATACATTGACACACATTTGGAGGATTGCGTAATGGATATTGAACATTAGCATAGTCCTTTCTTTCTCATTATAAGGAATTTGTGTCCATGTACTCCTCTTGTTGGTTTTTACATAACTTGCTGCATCCACCTAAACCGAAAAGTGTTTCTTCCTTCTCCTTTTCCTTCTCTCGTCTCATTTGCAGCTTTATTACTTGTCATTTGTATATGAAATAGATCGTGTTTGTATAATGATTTTCTGATGCTGTTTACTTAATATTGGTATAGGTTGTTCAGCATTATCATGTCAACAAATTTTATCTGTTACACGACCATGCACGACATTTTCAAAGTAGAAGTAATATAAAATGAGAGTTGTCCTTCTTGTCTCTCATACTGTTTTACTAGCTCTACACTTTCCATTTCTCTCATGGATTTATTACATTTTATTGAATAGGTTGGCTACATTACTTAATATTGGTGTAGTTGTTTTTATTCTCCCATTTTATTTTCGAATTTTGATGTGCTACAGTGTCATCTTTAAAGGTTTCTAAAGTACCAAACCACTCTCCCGCTATTCCAATGAAGAAACGCACCAACTACCCACAGCCACTATTCCGTGCAGACAACACGAATGATACCTAGATCCACACAGACAACCATTACACCTATCCGACCATGCTTACCCTTGCATTGGAAAAAACTGTAGCATGATATAGAAATTAAGCGACACTTGCAGGAAATTATGCTTTCAGCTTCTTATTTCTTGATTTGAACCATTAACAGTGCTTTAATTCTATGATGCTTTCTTGAATTGGAATAATCTGATACTCACAAAATTCCTCTTACACTAGCATTGGGAAAAAGTCTGTTTGCTCTTATTTCTTGATTGGAACCACTAACTGTGCCTTAGTTCTATGATGCTTTCCTTTATGATTTGTATATATGTCTATTTGGGCAGGTTTACTCATCATTGCTTAGATATGATTATGACTGAATCATGGTTGGGAACTTTTTGACCGTGTATGCTATAATACTCACATTTCATATTCATATTTTATACTTCTACAATTTTGTAACTATATCTTTGTTTAGATTCAAGTTGATATCGGGAATATGGAAGGAGACATGGCTTTTCGGTCAGTAGCATCTAGAATTGCATTTCCTGGATATCGAGAAGTCTATAAGGTTTGTCTTTTATGCTCTATATGCATGCACTTGCATGATTAGTAGAAACCGCCTAAGATGTTCTTGCACAATGTCTTCTTTGCTTATGTCTGTATATAGTTATTTATACGTGCAAGCTTCTTTTCCAACAGTTCCTATTTGCATGCCATTCATGTTTCTGTGAGATTATTATTATTATTTTGTTACTTAGTAGTTGATTATAACAATAGTATCGCATGTCATTCAAAAGATCTGCTTATATTAGTTTAGAAAATTGTTTATATTTGGCGATGCTAAGTAAGAATGATCTGCCATCTCATTTAGCAAAATGAGGTACAAAAAGATAGGAGTGTGAAATCCACCTGATCTGATGTGAAAATACATCTTTTGCTAGCTCATTTAACAAAATGCATTGTCACCTCATAGTCATTTTTTCCTTATCTGTTTCTAGTTTATGTTTCAGACTTTGATGGTACTTTTGTGATGTTAGAGAATGCATAATTTGCAAACAAACATAAGAGAACTGGATTATATTCCTATCAGATTAAGTGTTAGCCATTCGAATGATAAATCTTCTCCATTGAACTTGATCGGATATTTTAATTATCTACATAAAAATGAATTAAGCGGCAGGTTAAGGGCTTTAGCCTAGGTTCATGTTGCTGCACAGTTTTTTGGCTAGACGAGATTAAATATCTCAAATTGAAAAAGAGTTAAGCAGTTTAAAATGGGATTTACTAATTTGCATAAATTAGTTGGTTAAAGACAATTCATACTACTGATATTCAGATTATGGAAATAGTTTGTAAAATTTAAACAACTGAGTGCCTCTCTCATGAACATTTGTTAATTTTAGAAGATGTTAGGCGTGTGGATATTGATGTTCATCAAAGGTGATTGTGAATTAATATTTCTATTTTGTTTTAGTTTTTAAATGCTTAAATATATCATTTGTTTAACTCATGTTATATAATAGATATGCATAGTCTAGAGAACATTTAGATCTTTTCATGAATACAAAAAGTCTAACTACTCTGGCTAGTTTCGTTAGAACTTGTAAAAATTTGAAAAAGTGCAAGGATATTTGTTGAAAAATTAAGACTTAAGCCATTTAGCCCTTTTCATCTTGGCAAACACCAGCACTCTCCCAAACCATCTTACCAAATATTCAAACACCACAAAAAGGTGGCAACTAACCACAGTTCTCTAACTGAACTACGATGGACTAAAACATAGTGAATTACCCGTGTTTCCTTTATAATGTTGAGCCCATCAGTTTCTATTATCACTTCAATCATCAAGTTTTCTTTTTTAATAAATTATTTTCATAATAATATGGAAAACTAAAGTTGGACATAAACCCCTTTGACATTATGATGAAACCGGTCTAAACATTTGAAACACTTACACACAAAACTGAAACAACAAGGATAGATGTTGAACATAATTTGCTTAAAGCCTTTCTTCTAAATATTTAGGCACTCTTTCGACATTTGATCCATCATATAACATGGATGGATCTTGCATTGAAAACCAGATAAAAGCAAAGAATTTATAGGTTTTTTTGCTCGGTTCTTGGACTTTGCTTTTGAAGAAACAAAATAGGAGAGGAAAATTTGTTGTCCATTAATGATTGATGTAATACAAAGTATAAAGTCAAGAAAGGTGTTATAGAAGGTGTTTTCAAAAAGTGTTTCTTGCAAGAAAATGAGTTTTTCATAGAGAATGTAGGATAGAAGATGATAATGATATTTCTTGTCAAATATACAGGGATTGTGGGGAGGGCTACTCAAAATTAAAATTATAATAATAATCAATATTCATTGAGCAAAATGGTGTCACGTTGCACTATTTTTCTCAATGAGAGCCACAAGCCCACCTGTAAGTAAAAATCACCAATGTTCAAAAACACGGTTTTATTATCCGTGCGGTTCGAGAGTGAGCCACGATTAATCAGATTATGTGCCGATTAATCGGATTATGTAGAATTATGCGTTTTTGAATTTTTAACATATATTTATTATTTTTCATACATAAAAATGTATATAATTCATAAAAGATAGAAGATATATATATTTTTTTAACATATATTTATTATTTTTCATACATAAAAATGTATATAATTCATAAAAGATAGAGGATATACTAAGAAAAATGCAAATAAACATGTGAGATAGAGAGATGGGGAGACCAACAATTTTTTAACATATATTTATCATGCTGTTACAGTCGCCGCTATCTACTGCTGCTACAGTTGCTGTTGTCGTTGTCGCCGCCTGAAGTTGCTGTTGTTGTCGCCGCCTGAAGTT